TTAAAAGAAATGGTCACTTTTCACATTTCCATAAATTAATTATTATGGATGATGGCAATATTATTTATTCATATGTATATACACATTTGTATATGCTCTCAGAACAGCCCCAGTTCTTTGTGGTATGGAAATGTGTTGCCTCTAAGTTATTGGAAGTGTTTCTCTAAGGTTCTGGTCCATGTTGCCAGGATTGCATCACATAATTGTTGCAGATTGGTGAATCACCCTTTCTACCACATCCCAAAGGTGCTATTGGATTCAAATCTGGTAACTAGGGAGGCCATTGAAGTACACTGAACTCGTTGTCATGTTCATGGAACCAATTTGAGACAAATTGTGCTTTGTGACAATCATCATGCTGGAAGCAGTATTTGTAAAATGGGTCAATTGTGGCCGTAAAGGGATGCATGTGGTCAGCAACAATACTCAGATACTCAGGCTGTGGCATTCAAACAATGCTTAATTGGTATTAAGAGGCTGAATATGTTCCAAGAAAACATTCCCCACACCATTACACCACCACCACCACCACCAGCCTTAACTGTTGATGCAATGCATGTTGGGTTCATTATATGGATGCCAAAATCTGACCCTAATTTTTGCATATTGCAGGAGAAATCAAGATTCATCAGACCTGGCAACATTTTTCCAATATTCAGCTTTCCTGTTTCGGTTACCTTGTGCCCACTGTTTCCTATTCTTTCCTGACAGGAGTGGAACCTGATGTGGTCTTTCGGTGTTGTAACCCATACACCATGAGGTTCCATGCGTTGTTCATTTAGAGATTATTTTCTGCTCACCACGGTTGTAAAGGATGGTTATTTGAGTTGCAGTAGCCACCTGTCAGCTCATACTAGTCTGGCCATTCTCCTATGACCATTCTCAACAAGGACTGCAACTCACTGGATGTTTTTTTTTTGTTGTTGTTTTTCGCACAACTCAGACTGTTGTGTGAAAGTCTCAGGCGATCAGCACTTTTGGAAATAATCAAACCAGCCTGCCTGGCACCAATAACCATGTCACTGAGATCACATTATTTTCCCACTCTGATATTTGATGTGAACATTAACTGAAGCTCTTGACCTGTATCTGCATTGTGCTGCTACCACGCGACTGGCAGATGGCAGTGGGTTCGGAAAGTATTCAGACCCCTTTAGTTTTTGCACATTTTATTGTATTATAATATACATTTAAAATGGATTAAATGTTATTTTTTTCTATCAAACTACAAAGCTTCTACAATGTACAGAATAAAGAGTCTGAATGCTTATCTATATTAGGTTTCAGTTGTTGATTTTGAATCAGTAATAATAAAAATTGTTTTGTCATTATGGGTTTTTGTGTGTAGATTGATAGTTTTTGATTTTTAATAAATGTGCAAATGTTTCTAAAACCATGTTTTGCTTTGCCATTATGGATTAATGGCCAAAACGTAAATGTAATCCATTTTAAATTAAATCTATAACACAACAAAGTGAAAAGAATGAAGGGGTCTGAATATTGTCTGAACCCACTGTAGACAGATGTTGATAGATAGCTACACTTTACATATTCACCCATACATACCGTATGCTGTATGGAGTAAATATTTAACAAAGATTGGCTGTAACAGGAGAAAGAGCTTTGCTTCAGTTGGTACCTATAATTAATGAATATTAAAATCCATCTTTAGTTTACTGAAATTTAGCTTTAGAGACTGTTGTCATGTTTTGTAGGACTAACTATTTTCTTTATCCATAGTACTCCCTTTTAGTGCATGTTTTGTTTGAAGATTAAGGATACTCCAACAAAAATCTACAGTGACCTTCACTGCCTCAGTTTTGCAGTTCTGCTTCACCCCTCCTAACTGCCAAGGGCAGTGAAAATTACCTGGACACCTCCTTGTGCACACACATGCTGAGACCTTTACACAAAATCACATGAATGGGCAATAAATACTGCTGACATCCAGCCGTCCTTCCCTGTCTTCTTTTTTGCTTCTGGTTATTGGTGAATCTCAGCTTGTGTTATCGAGCTAACTCACATGATGCTTTCAGAAATAGACCCCAACCTGCTTTTACGGTTGGAAATGTAGATTGAGATACTCTGTACTTCAGTACAACTGGTATCTTTAATTGATGGACATGAAAATAGCATTCTCAGGTTACTGAAATTTTATGTTTAGATTGTGTTTGTATAGCCCATGACATTATATATTTTCCTCCTTGTCCTCCTCCTGTTGACTTTACATTTAAGGATCAATAACAATTTTATTCATTCATTCATTCATTATTCATTATTTTTCTTCCACCTTTCCTGGTGTGGTTGCAGTAGCAATGGGCTGAGAAGGTCAGCCCAGGTTTCTGTCTTCCCAGCCACAGATTCTAGCTTGTTCACAAACCAAAACTGTTCACAAAACTGAGACATGTAGTCTGTCCAGTGGGTTCTGGGTCACTCTGAGGTCTCTGTCCAGTGGGACAACCGACCAGAGGGCGTCCTTGTAAGATGCCCAAACCACTTCAACTGGCTCCACTCCAGTCGGAGGAGCAGTGGCTCTCCCTTACAATTTCAAAAGGAATGAATAACTTCATTTTCATAAAAAAAAATAAAAAATTGGTTATAAAATGCATATGTTCTCAATGATGTAATGTTTGTGTTTATGATGGTCTGTATTGAACAATACAGGACCAAATTTCACAATTTAGTTCTGGAAAACCCATTGAGGACTTGGTCTCTCCTTAGATCAGTGCATGCTGTGATGACTTGTTCAAGTACCTACAAATACCATCAAGTATGGAATTATGTGAACTTTGATTAGTTTCACCAAAATGAATAACACATGCAATTAAAGATATTTTAGTATAACATAGATGTTGCATAATAGTTCTATTTTAACACAAAAAATAGCTTTCTTTTATCTGACAATGGTTTCAAAATTGTCTGCACCCCTCCCCCCCACGATTAATATCTGATGAGCTGATAAGCCTCTTCCTGTGATGTCTAACACTAGACTATACTTTCTGTTTAATTTCTATGTTGATTTGGATGTATGTTTGAGATCATTATCTGTTATAAAGATCCATCTATAGTGAAGTTCTTACCTTCTGGTAGAGTCATGAATGGCATAAAACATTCATGATGCCATCCTCACAACAGCCCCTGGGATACTAGCTGCAAAACATCCCACAACGAATCATGTTTTACACAGTTATGTGCTTTTATTTAAGTCATTCCCCTTTTTTCTCTAAACATCCAGATAGTGTGCATGGCCAAAAAGTTTGATTTTTGTCTCATCTGACCACAACACATGAATTATCTTCAATGATGCTTGAAGTTCTTGTGCTGCATTTTGGGCATTGCTTTTTTAGGAAGGTACTCTTTCATGCAACCCTTCCAAACAGCTAGTTGTTAAGGAGGTGGAGGCTATATAACCCCTAGAGTCAACAAAACTGCAATTCTAAAATGGTGATCTTTGTGTTCATCATACTCTCCCTCAGCATCCTCCTCACTGTGTATGTGAGGGCAGTATGCTCCTGGGTCCTCTTCCTGCCACATTTCTAATTGTTCCAGACTTCTGAAACATTCTGTTATTTCCCTGAATGTGCTCAATCGTAATTTAGCTTTATTTCACAGCCATTTGTATTTCTGTGTTGAAATATGCTTGTTTTTCCCCCAGCATGATGGATGACGTGGGGATTTTATGTCTGATTAATACCCCAGGGAAGTACATAGTCACAAGCTACAGCAGAGAACGAGGGGACTGGAAGCAATTAAAAATAAATAACTTCTTTAGGGATGACAAATTGCTTGTATTAATTATTAATGCTTTCTACATGTGTCAATAATTTTACCTCATCTTTTTATTCATAAATCGTTCGTACTACGATTTACAGAACAAATTTGGTATTCATGAAAATCCCATAATTTTGGAAAAACTTTCATATCCTACTCATGCTCTTGAGTGTGTGAAAATTTATGCATAAGAAGACTAACTAATGTAAACCCCAACTGATCAGCTTCTAATCATAGTTTGTACTTTTATATAGACAAATTTAATGACACTTTTGTGATGTTTCAGTCATTTCATATTAATGGCATTAAGTAAAGATATTAAATATGGGTAAACAATATTAAAGAAAGCAAGCCAACATAAATCCATAAATTATGACAAATAAGACCAGTCATTTAATAAAGAATGTCACTGTATAAACGGGCTCCAATGGCTCAGGCAGTGTGGAAGTTGGTTCCTTTTGTCACGGCATCTTCTTTTAATGCTGTGCAACACTTTATTAAGCCAGCAGTAAGTGACAGATAAGTAACCGATCTGGTATGGCTCAAGCTGCCGTATACTGCTAAATGTGCTGTGTGCCAACGTTGATGTCCTATGACACATAACCTCCTGCTTTTCCAGCATAGCATCGGGAACGGCGTATGGGTGTGCAAGAAATTTCTGACCAAGAGCTGCAGAGACACTTTGCTTTGAATAAAAAAGTAGCAGTTTCTTGCTGTTCATGTCCATGATCACCTGGGTAAAGTACATTTTTTCTCCATTTCCATGTCAAACCATTTTGTCATCTTAATTATCATGCTTAATTCAAATCTAATTCACCTGTTCTGTAATTTGGCTTCAGATTTTGGGGTTGTTATGCTGTTAAATAATATATATTTTTATTGTCAGATGTGAGTCAAAATAACTTCCAGTTCTACCTCTAAAAAAAGTCTTTTTTTTGCCATTTACTCATCATTTTACTGAAGTGAGCTTTGCCTTTTATGGAGTTTGTGGGCGATCGTAAATGCAAATCAGCTGTGCCTTGCACACACTTGGTATTTTACGGATGATTGGCATTCATCAACAAACACAAGGTTCGCAATCAGCGCTTTCAAAAACTTTGTAAATCCGGCAGAATTTTTTTGTTCAGTTTGTAATATGCAAATATTTACACACAACTTGACTAAAAGATTGATAAAGCAGCCCCATTGTGTGCAATGTTTATTTTTGTACAATAACTCCTGCCCAGGGGGGCATGATGGTTTAGTGGTTAGCACTGTTGCCTTGTACCTCTGGGATTGGGGGTTCAAATCCCCCCTCTACCCTGTGTGTGCGGAGCCTCCGTGTTCCTATCATGCTTTGGGGTTTTCCTCCCCAAGTCCAAAGACATGCGTTGTAGGCTGATTGGGTGTGTGAGTATGTGTGTGTGATTGTGTCCTGAGATGGGTTGGTACCCCATCCAGGATGTCACCTGCCTCATGCCCCAAATCCTCTGGGATAGGCTCCAGATTACCCCGTGACCCTGTGTAGGATAAGCAGTACAGAAAATGGATGGATGGATGGAACTCCTGTCCATTCTCATGATGGGTGCCAGTAATTCTGGATTTGACTGTATGTGTAGTTTGCTGCATGAATTTAAACAGACTTTTACAGATTATGATCTGCCTCTGCCTGGACCTTATGGAGAATATTTATATGGATAAGTTTTGGCCCTTATGTCGTGCACATATGGATGACAAACCAAATGCCAGTGAAACCCCGATATCTTTGCCAAAACTACATCAAGCCTACAATATTTTTAAGTACTTTTTTAAAAGTACTTGTTTTTCAGTAGCAACATAAACAGATAAAATGGATCAAGTGCAAATGTTATGTATTTCTGGCAGGGAGTGGAATATTATGTATTATTTAGGAAAAGAAAAAGACAGTATGAATAGATTATTTTTGTTCAAAAATTTTGTAGGTTTAGTCAGGATTGTGAAATAATAATGGTGTAAGTCCTGTTTCACATTCCTTAACTAAGAAGAGGAATGAAAGGTGAAGGTGCTTTAGGGAAAATTCCAGGGTATTGCTTATCAGTAGGGTGTTGCTTTTTTAAGAAATAAAAGTGAATGTAATTTTCTACTGCATTGTATTTCACTTTCATCAGTGTATTGCATCAGTGCCACATTGAAATGCATTGACAGAACTAAACTTTACTTGGGAATGTGTTAGAATTCCGAGAAGGGCCTGAAGGAGTCATTTTCCAGGAATGAGATAGACTTTGGATCCACCATGACCAGCATAAAGCGGTATGAATGAATATTAGGTCTTCACATTATGTTAAGTGTACAATAAGAACAACAGTGTTTTCCACTATGTTAGACATTATGTCAAATATGAGAGTAAATGATGGCCAAATTTTGGCCCATGTTTGAAAATTCAGCCAAACTGGAAAATTTCATATGACTTACTTCTGTACAGTCACAGCAATGCCACAACTCAGCCTCTACCAGAAGTGAGCCATATTAGAAAAGATGATATGGCCCACACCTGGGCCCAGTGGCAGCTTGTCCATAGGGGCATTTATATCAGCTGTTCAACAAATGTTAATCTTAAAAAGTTCTCATTCATAACCCCATACATTTTAAATTCCACTGAAATAGAAGAAGTTAGGGAGAAGATTCCAGAGTACTGCTTATCAGCAGGGTATTGCTTTTTGAAGAATTAAAAGTGAATGTAATTCCCCATTGCATTGCATTTCACTTTCATCAGTGCCACACTGAAATGCAATCACAGCCCAAAGCTATACTTGGGGCATGGTTGTAATCAGAGAAGGGCCTGAAAAGGTCATTTTCCAGGAGATGTTGTGGTCCATACAAAGAAATACACTTTCTAGGCATTGTTTCTTCATTCAACAATCAATCTGCTTTGACTGTTGACCCCTTAATCATCAAGCTTTTGAGAATTACAACTTAAACATGAAGTGTTACTTCTCAGAAATGGGTAGAAATGCTAAACTACAAAGGACACCACCGAATCAGTTCTTCCACACTGTCAGTGTTAATAATTTATTTTAAAAAAATTGTAAGTATTGATAAACACTGTGGACTCATGTAGGAATCTTCACCCTTCTTCAACATTCCATCTATTGTTTTATTTATTGTATTTATTTGTTTTATTGATGGGCAGCACAGTGGCTTTGCCTCACAGGGTCCAGAAGATTCCTCCAGGTTCTCCAGTTTCCTCCCACCTCCAATAAACATGCAAGTAGGTGGATTGGCTAAGGTGTGAATGAGTGTGTGAGTGTGTGTGTGCGTAGTGCATCCTATCCAGGGTGTATTGGTTACTGAAAGTGAGTGAGTGTCTTATTGACTTGGATATAATTAATGCACATTTCAATGATACAGTCAACTGTGTGGACTGCTGTGATGCTTGGAACACTGTACGATATACTGTGATGTTAGGTTAGTTACTATCTGGTTCGAATTTGAAATATCAGATTTGGTAGTGTTAAGTTTAATAATTGCCTTTAACTTCAGCAAGCAAGTACCTGGCTTCTAGTGGCAATGAACAGACATTGAAATCCTCTGTACTTACAAGCAGCTGTAATTACAATAATGTTAACGTCATTCTCCGATGTGTCAGTTGACAGATGTGGTGCTGTTGCTTTGTTAGTGCAGCAGGTAGCAGATGGGGTGGAGGGAATGTGTCCGGCCACAGTGTGGATTTTTATGTTGAGTTTTATACCCAACATCAAAGGCAATTACAGTGGAAAAAAGTGTGAACTTGTCGAAATTTTGTAAAAGGTATTGCCTTCCTGGCCCCCCAGTTTGAGGTGCCACTGTATTTGTATTTGCTCATTCGGCTGGCGCTTTTCTCCAAGTGACTTAGCATTGAGATGTGATACAACTGGGATTGAACTCACATCCCAAAATCCTTAAACACTGAGTCACCGCTTTCCAATTGTATGATTTCCTGACTATCCCCACATTGTTCTCCAGGCTACATTCGGTTTTCCAACAGAAATCCAAACATTTTCTTTGGTGTGCTATACCCATGACACATTTATTACCTACAAAGCATTGCATGGGCAAGCACCTTCTTATATTACTGAATTATTGATTCCATGCAGACCAACCAGGACTCTATGATCATTGAATCAAAACATGTTGATCATCCTAAGGTCTAAATTAAAAACTAAGGGAGATAGAGCGTTTGCTGTTTTAGCACCTAGACTTTAGATTGATCTATCTTTGTGCGTAAGATCGGCATACTCCGAGCCATAAAAAACTCTTAAAA